GCAGGTGCTAGAAGAGCTCAGCAAGGAGAAGATGCTTTACTGGTAAATATAAAAATGAAAGGCCTTGTTTCCCCAGTCTGTCCAAAACAGACTTCACTGTAGCAGGTGTGCACTTCTTGGATGCATTTCATCTTGTGCAGCACATGCTTGGACTGAAATGTTGCAGCAGACAGAAGTCAAGCCATGGATTTACCTTTTTTTCCCCTATTCACACAGACTGCCACTAATTTCATCCAAGTCAGCCACCTACAAAGAGATTACTTAAGCCAAAGGAAGGAAGCAAAATGACATTTTTTTTCTTAGCAAGAAATTGTGTACAAATAAGAAGTGTTTGATTCTGATATAATTTAGTTCTATTATATAATATAAATATACTAGCAAACTATTAAAAATGCCCCCTTCAATTGTAATATACAACTTCTACCAATAACCTTTAGTCAAAGGAGAGCAACATAGTAAAGAAATCTCATTCTTTCTCGGTTCAGATAGCCACGGATACATGAAAATTGCCTTTGTTGTGAAGAGTGTTTATTTTTTGTTTTTCCCAGATGAGATATTGCAAATCCTTTCTGCCCTTTCCCCCTGACCTTGACCCACCTTATCAGCTCTACCTCAGTCATACCAGACAATCAGAGATACCCAGGAAGAAAAAAGAAGTTATCTAAAGAAGTTTCTTACTTTCCTTCTTGCTTTACTTAATTCTCTTTCTTACCAAGGAAAAGTAAGAAAAAAAAGGCATGCCTTTCTCCCTGATAAAAATTCACAGACACCTCAGCAAGGAGACACACTGGTCTGCTGCAGCACTAGTTGAGAGCAAGCAATGACCCAGCACTATTCTCTGCCAGCACTGACAATACAGTGTCAGATGGACTATCTGATCTCTCACTGTCTCTATAAAAATATGTTGATAAAAGAGGGCCAGATAGATTTGCTTGTTAATACTCTTGAAGGTCACAGGAAAAACTGAAATGATAAGCAAAAGGAATTTGACTACTCTGCAAACAGCTCTCAAGCATTTATTTCCTAAATTTATGGAGTGGCCCTGTCATCTCTCACTGTAGAACCTTTCATGCCCCTCTATTCCTTTGTTTCAGTGACTTTACAGAGTAGCCATGCATGTACTTGAATGCAATTTTTAAAATAGTTTCTACACAAACATGCTGAAATCAGCTGCTAAAAAATGTGATCAGTCTGGTTTTCTTCTCAAGCTTCCTAAGAGTCACACCATGAATTAAGTCTGTTTCTCAGAACAGAATAGCCAGTGTTACTTTATCTAATGAGATGGAGATGCAACCTGGAAATAAAATTCCTGTTGTCTCTGCAGATGCACAGAAGCTGGCTGGTGCTACAAAATGTGCATTCAATTAAGTAAAAGACTGTTGATCAACTGTGCCTGGAAAATATTACAAGCATAAAAACCACACTGCAAATATATGGTAAATATTTTGGCAGGTGAACATATATAAATATATGGCAGGTGAACACAAGACTGTAAGTCTTCTATTCTTTGTTAGTTCTGTGCTGGGACTACAAAGGATCCTGCCACACAGGATGCAATGATGCATTAGAAACTTTGCGTATTTCCACAACTGTCTATTTCATGGCCATGAAAAATTCGCCAACACCAAAGGGAATTAAAACTAAAAAAGAGAGATGAGAGAAGATAAACTCAGGTTGGGTAGAGAGAATGATTTAATCTTTAAATTGAATAAAAGAGATACTAGAACAAGCTTTTTTCTTATTGCAATCTTTAGGGAAAACAAATAGTGGCTCTTTAAACCATCAATACTTTTGTTCTTACTGTTCCACTAGGATAACTGAGTTGTAAACTACAGAGGGTGGGTGAAAGGGAATTCTTTGAGGAAATTGTAGCAAGGGATCTTCCAATTTGATAAAAGGCAAACAAAATCCTCATCTTGAGGATGAACAGCTCAACCTGAAATGCCTAACAAAGCAAAGAGGTCTAGTTTTATTTGGCCATGTTTGAGTTGGGATGACTCTTCAAATGAATCTTCAAGAGGTCCCTTCTGACCTCAGTTAGTCTATTGTTATATGTGTGTGGACTGACAGGCTTGTACCTATGTGGAGATCACTAAAGCCAAGTGACTTAGAAAGAAATCTGAGAAAAGACAACATGTCTAAGCCACATTAATCTTGCTGTGAAATAAAAAGTTTATTTGGGAGAAATTACTTCATCTGAGAGCTGGAAAAACTCTCCATTGTTTCCTCTCCAGTGTTCTAACAATCTATGGAGAAAAAAACTTTTCTTGTAACTTAGTCTTTAAGGGAGAAAGGTATTTAAAAAAAGTAAAAAACAATACAATTGATTCAATAACAAATAAAAAAACAGAGGTTACACAACAATGCACTTCAGCAAACTTAACTTTGTGTTTGAAGCTCTAGATATAGAAAGATAAGGACATTAGGAGCTGAGATGTTGTATAACTGAGAAAAATTACTTTCAAAGTATTAGCAGCATGAAGAAATCTGATGACTTCTAAGAAAACTAGCTCTTGAAAGAGAGCAAAGGCCAACCTGAGCTAAATTAGAGCCTAACACCATTTATCTAGTGATTCAGAAACTGCCTTCCCTGTAGATTAATTTCTCCAGCTGGAAGAAATTTTTTGAACACGACCATTGAAAATGTTGTCTGCCTGAATACAGAAATAGAAACAGCTGGTCAAACTCTGGAAATTAAGGTCCTCAGGTTAGAGATTAATCTTAGAGTTGCCCTAAAATGCCTCCAGCAAAAATCCTACAGCTGATAAAAGACTAGTATAATCATATCTGAGCCAATTTTTCTAGCCTGTGGCAGTACAGTGGGCAGATCAGGCAGTGGGCAGAAGATGATGTTTCAGGTCCAAATGAGATTTAACTGAAAGGCTGCATCACCATCCCTCTAAAGTCAACATTCATTCTGAGACTAATAATGAATGTCGCTTATGGCATTTCTTTACACAGTGATAATTTTTTCCAAAATACACCTCTGGAACTGCAATCACACCTATTTCAGAAAACATTGACTTCAACACACAGAAGTAACTGTACAGTCTAGGCTGATTCAGATCTTACTCATCATTACTAGGGAGCCAAGTGACTGATTCTGTGAGATTCCTGGTCTATTTCAGAATATTTAATAAGATCTGGCATGCTTACAAGGGGCAGAAGAAGATAGGATGGATAATTAAACTCTGTGAAAATTTAATAACTTCATCTGTAGTCTGTTGTTACATCCACTTTTGCCCTTTGCAGTACTCGCTGCAGTTAATTTTGTCCTGAGAGTAGAGATTCGCCTCCAGAGAAGATGCACATAGTCTAGAAGGAGCCATTTGAAACTTATCTGCTAGGGACTCACCCATCATTTGGAAGAAGATGAAAAGGTGTAAAGGTAGCTTGCTTTAACTGATTAACTGGTAACTTTGCAGCTGGTTAAGCTGAACACATATTCAGAGCAGTGGTCATATATTTCTACTCTCTGGGTGTCATCTGATACACAACTTTATACAAATAAAAATAATGAACGAACACAGCAGTAACCAACTTATCTTCCCAGGTGATTTTTAAACTACTGATTAGTGTACATCACAGAAGGAAATTATTTTAAACAAAATAAAAACCCTCCACACTCTGCCTTCAGTAATTTATTTTCCTGTGGCCACAGTGTCTTTTCCTTGTCCATGGCAACTAGCGCTACCACCTGTAGGATCACCAGAGGCTGAGTGTGGCAGGGTAGTACCCAGCAAGAGAAAGGGCCATGAGCTGTCCCAAACCCATTTAACATGACAGAGAAGAGCTTCATTTTGCACAACATGAAATGAAGTAACATGGGTTACTCACGGCTCAGCTTCGATGCTCTGGTCAGCAGCAATGTAGTTGGCAGGGATGTAGCCCATGAGCTTGCGGCCAGGACAGACTGACCCCTCTGGCAGGAGGAGCTTGGCGTACCACCATCCCTCATGGGATGCTTTCAGCACTTCCAGCTTATCCCCAGCTCGGAAGCTCAAGTCATCCTCCGTGCGAGCATCATAATCGAACAGAGCCACAAAGTTGCAAATGTTTGCTAGCCTCTGGCCAGGCAGTGGAGGTAAAGGTTTTTCTTTTATCTTACTCTCTAAGTCCTTCTGTCCTGCTTGGAGTTCAGGTTTTACCACAGCAATGTTGGCAAAGACCTGGCCCCCTTTGTCTTCCTGCTCACCATTTGTCCCACAGAATAAGCAGGGAAGGTAACGCTTCAAACGGGGACAGTGCTTCCGGAAGAAGTTTCCCATCTTGATACTTTGTTGCTTCCTCTGCTTCTGCTTTTCTTTTGATTTTCCTGGTTGCAAGACCCTTAGACCAATTTTTGCACCATCCACATCTTATCTTTTTGCAGACTTCTTCTCCCCCTTCTCCTTTGGCATAAAATGAAACAACTCTTGGCACAGCTGGAAGCTTCTCTCTGGGTCCCACAGAGAGCTCATTACAGACGGCTCCCAGTTAGGGAGTGAAACTTAAACATTCAAGTGCCAGCACAGATATGGAGGGAATTTTTCACTTCCTCTTCAGAAAAAGGAAAGCAACAAATCAGCTGTGCTGGGCTGAGCTCTGAGAACAAAGTGTGAGCCTCTTCTGTTACAGCAAAACAATAAAGCCAGAACATGTAAATAAGGAAGGCTTTTCAATTCTCTCTGCTCGGGATGGGTGTTTTCTTATCTCCGATGTGGTCTGGTCATGTGATCAGTGGTGAATGTCTGCCTTGGCAATGATTAACCAAACTGACCTGCCTGCTTCCTCAGCAGTCTGACGTGGACAGCTTGAATGAATATTTCCTTTAGCTCCCGGTTTGTGCTGGTTTCGGTTCGCAGTTTGCTCCCCTGAGACTGGCAGACGCCCTCGGCAGGAGAGCACCTGTGGCTCCTGCCCTCACTTACACCCAGGCGCATTCCCTGCCAAGCACCCGCCCTTCAAACAAACACTACGGCGCTTTTTTTTTTAATTTTATTTTTTTTATTCAGCTGGGATGGGCACTTTTTACAAGGAAAACCAAATATATATGGCTTACAGTAATAAAGCAATATATTTTACGGCATTCCTTATTCTGCATTTTAAGGAAACCAAGGCACTAGCCAAAAAGCATTTCTCTAGGTGGCTGGCTGATTATATCAACCCCATATAAAAATAATGGCTGTTTTCCAGTCAGCTTGTAAACAATGACACTGCATTAACCAGTATATTCCCATTTCTAAAGTATCTCTAATCCAGCATACAGACCAAGCATGGGTGTCTGGATACTGTGTGGCTGTGGTAATGCAGGCTGAAGTGCTGGCCATCACATCACAGCAGTGCAACTCAAGCTTTGTAACCCCTGGAAATCACCACAGCCCAGAGGACACAGAATGACTGGAACAGGAGCAGGAAGCACAGAAGATACAGCGAGAGCCTGTCTGCACATAATGGTGGCATTTCAGTAAAAGATAAACTTTTACAGATCAGCGTCTATTTATTGAGATCAATCAAAACCCACTCATGGACCTATAACTTCCTGGTGATTATAAAAACGGAGTCCTATATTTTTCTTTTCTTTCCTTTATTGTGTTTTTTTTTTTTTTTTTGGTCAGGAAGCTGACTTCTGTGGTTTAATTTTACTAGAAAGAAAGCACCTAAATAACAGAAACCAAAGTCACTTGCTTTCATCTTATCTCTCATTCATTTGAGTGAGGATACCAGTGGCAGAGGCAGTAGGCTACTGACCAACTAGAGACTGTGGGATGACTAAAAGATACCTCTATTGAAAGTGATAATATTAGTATCATGTGCATCTCCACTGACACTCAAGAGGAATGAGAAACTGCTTATAAACACTTTTGCAATGCTGCCAAAGAAATTAAATAGAGGAGGAAGTACCATACTCATCAAGTGACCACTAAACTTCATCGTCTTTAGGGTTTGATTAAAAAAAAAAGGTATGCTGATTTGGCAGATTATGATGATCTTCTGTCATTTCTGTAGCACCACTGGAGACGATTTTTCACCAGGAGTTATTAACCATATGTTAGTAAGAACACAGATATCCAAGAGACATTTGCTTTTCCTTGGTGTGAATAACACTATCCAAAGGAAAGAAAAGCCTATATTGATAAAGAAACCATCTTTGTTAGTCTAGTTTAAAGAGTTGATTACATTTACTGAAATCAAAAAATATTAGAAACTACTACTAAGTAATCTCACAATTTTCAGTTTGTATCATTTGATCTTATTTTTCCTATAATGGTTTTTTGTTCTGGCAACTTGGGCATTAATTTGACAAAGCTTTGGAAACTCATTTACTGATAGTTTCTTCATGACAACAAAGGCATTTGCATCATACAGAATCAAGCTGTACAATGCACAATCATTTTCAGGACCAAGTCCCACTTTTACACTCAGGAACCAATATACAAACACATTAGAAATCACACTGCATTCACTGAGACCACTCAGATAAGTATTTATAACTGGTGCTACAACAGGGCTTAAGCCTACAAATGGTTGTGTATATGACTACCTTATCTCAAAGAGTTCCCGGCATTAAATTCATCTTCTCCCTCAATCTGTGTCCCTGCTTGGTTTTAGAAGAACAGAAAGACTTTCTTCTGAAAGTGATCAATAAATATAAATCAGATTCTTTTCATCCTGGTTTTCAGGACCAGTTCTATGTATTAACCAAGTCGACTTTAAAAAGCAGCCATTAAAATCATTAATCAGATTTAAAAGACTTCTCAAAAAGAGAGAAGATTAGTTGCTGAGAACCACTGAGCAGATTTCCTATCCCATGTGGGAGAGGACAGTAAGTGAGCTGTGGTGGCCACACTGCAGCAGCTTCTGCAAGGGTCTTTGTTCCCATTGTGGTGACTTTATTGAGGATTCACTGCATTTCTGAAAATAAAGAAGTTCTCTTAATAGTTAAGAGACTATATAATTTTATCACAAGCAAGAAAAGAAAATTAGCATGTAATAAAAATGTTCTTGCTGGTTTTACAGAACAAAATAAAATCTGATAAATCCCATAATCCTGATTTTCACATTCATAGTTTGGAACAAATGAGGGTAATCACATATATTCAGGGGCTTTTCAATATAAACTGTTGTCCAAGCCCTCTGCATTTGAATTACATATAATTTGACAGAATAATCTTTGCATTACCTATTCCTTGGTTTAACTTACTTCTTTTGCCTTGCATCCCACTATATTTTCCGTTTTTTGCAAATCGGGCCAAAGAGTTCTGCATTGCTCCTTGGCTTCCTGTAACTTTATTTAATTTGTTTAGAACAATTTAAATTGTAAAAAAAATAAGCCACTGGAGGTAGAGTGATTGTAAAAGACTTAATTAGAGATATTGATTAATTTTATTGGCAAAAGTGGTTTAAGAAGAATGCAAGGGTCTCACCTATTTTGTGCAGCCAGCAATAGTTAACAAAAAAGATGAATTTATTATAACCAGAATGGCACATTTACAGTATGAATACTGAAATTTAGTATTCTGGTCCCTATATTAAAAAAAAACCCCACCAAACACTAATACTGTAAGTAATTTCTTAAAATACGCAACACCTTGAAACGAAGACTGATCATTTAAAAGCTGTGTCTGACAGGACTATATAAACTTAGACTTTAGAAAACAGAGAGAGTCTATTCAATCAAGCACTACTTCCCCCCTTCATGCTAGGTTATTTCCCATTTCTTTTAGTGTATATTTCCTTGTTCCATAAAGAAAAGAGTGTACACTGATGCTATAGGTTTGAGGATAACAGATATTTGAAGTTACTTTTCATGTTTTCTATATATTGCCTATAAAGTCCAGTATAAGTAAGACTCTTGCAAGGAGCTTTGCACCTGCTTAAACAATTAATTTGAAGTCCTCTAAATCCATTAAATCAAATTCTAATTAACTTAGAGTCAATATCCCTTAGGCCTTATTCTACAAAACAATCCTGTTTAAACGCAGTGGTGAAACATATTTTTCTTAGTTGACTGAATGGACAGAAGAATAATGTGCTAACATTACATCCTTTAGTAAACTTAGTACAAAACTAATCTGCAACACTGACATTAATTGAAGTGATCTTAGAATCAGGTCCTGCTCTGCATGAATTAAGGTATCAGACTAAGTTGTATAAAATAAGTACAGATAAGATTTGAATCCACAATATTTTAAAAGCCTCATTTTGATAGAAGTTCTATTTGTGTTACATGCCTTCAAAAATTATGTTGTATGAGTTTGCATTACAGATAGTTCCTACATTTATTGATTTGTATATGGTCTGTGTGGCACTATTGGCATGAATACATAAAAACTTAGGAGTTTCAGAAAAAATGTACCCTCCTTTGACACATAAATATGCCGGTTCATATTTTAAGACAAGGAGTGACATCACTGAGACTCAGTCTTCAGTACTGATGATACATGGTGTTTGAAACCATTCCCCTACATCATGCAGAGAATTGTAGTCTGAACAGCTCTGCTGGGGAAAAAAAAAATATTCCAAGGCAATATCCATCAACAATTTATTAATGAAATACGAGTCAGTTGAAATTGGAAATTGAAAAAGACAGTGGTATTTCTTAATGAGATCACAACAGAAACAAACATTTTCATTCATAATTGCATTGAATTCTGTAAAAGGAAATAAAGACTCCATGTAAGGAAATTAGAAATTAAGATATAAAATACAAGAATTGTAATTAAATAATCTATGATTCCTGTAGCATCACTTTCTATACAGTATAATCTTTTTCAAGGCAGAAGCTATGCTGCTGCATTTAATGTATGCTAGTTTAAATATTCGACATTATTACCTTGCTTAAAAAAATTTCATAATGCATTACAATAAAGCAAGTCAAACCTTTCAGCAAAGTAAAATATTCAAATAATGTGATCTTTAAAGAAGTTAGCAGAAAACCAAAAGCATATTGCTTTAAATCTGTTCTTGGGGAATAATTTAAATGACTAACCATTTTAAAGTTGAGTAGTTTTTTTAAGGTAACAAACTGAAATAAAGCACAGTGGTTTTTTTTATTACAGCTGTCTTTTCAGCTATATTTCTTTCCATTTGCACATTAAAATGGAACATATTACTACCACTTTGTAGCTTTTTTATATTCCTTTTAATCAGCACTTCCATTTTGTTTCTCTAATTTGCAAGTTGCCTTTTTTCAGTGAAAATAAATTATGTGTGTGATCTTACTCTTGACAAAATTGTTTACTCTTATTGATTAATAACTTTCCTGGTTTTGTCTATTATCTTAAACCATAAATCCATGAAGACATAGAGTTACATTTGATTCTGCATTTTCCAACTTGAAATCTTTTTGCATTTGTAATGAGAAAACTCTGGCTATTTAATTCCAAAAGGCTGATCCAGTAATCCATCTCTACCCTAGAAAAACATTAAAAGTATACTTTCAAGTGCTTTGGTGATGAGGGTTGCTTATTTATTAGCTGAATTTGGGCCTGAAACATGCTACATCTGACAACAAATTAACAGAGAGGAATAAGGTTCTGTCAAGGATTGACAGAATAGAGACTTCCTCTATTTGTCCAAACAAACAGATCCCACTTTGCTCAAATTTAATGTAAGTTTTGCCATTATCTGCAATGGGACCAGACCTCAACCATTATTTTTCATTTCATTGTACATTATTCTAAATGATATACAGCCCACAATGTTAAAAGTTGTAACTTAATTTGCTTTCTATGAAGCAGCCTCTCTGAATAAAACCAAAGAGCTGTAGCTCTCTAAGGCATGAACAACACTTCTAATCAAATTTATCTCTGTGTGGGAAAAAATATGGCAAGTGGATGACAAAGAATTATCAGCAAGCATGACTTTGCCATTCTTTTAAGAAAATGTACTCCAAAGCTGACCCTGCTATGAATAGTTTTTAAATTTGGAATGTGTATTTATTTATGAAGATTTTATGATGGGTCAAGATCGTTTCTCACATAACTCTATCAAAGTCTGTATGCTACAACATAGATGACTTGAGAACATGATTTACCATTTATATCTGAAGTTGGAATTGCATCAAAAGAAGCAGACAAGTCCAAACAGAGATGGACATAAAGAAGCAGTGTATCCAAATATTGTAGTCATTGTTCCACCTGCGAGTGAAAGTGCTTGGGGTTTTTTTCCAAAAATAAAACCAGCACTCTCTCCTGACCTTCACTGTACCTCAAAAAGGCAGCACCTCACAGAAAGCTGAAATTTACTATTAGAATATATTGATATACCATATAAAGGAACACATCTTATTAATAACTTAAGATTACTGAAATATGGCATGCAAAACCACTAGAAAAACCAGCTGTTAATTTTAGAATAGAATAGAATAGAATAGAATAGAATAGAATAGAGCAGAGCAGAACAGTTCAGCTGGAGGTGACTTGTAATGATATCTGCCTGACCACTTCAGGACTGGCTTAAAGTTAAAGCCTGTTTTAAAGGACAATGCCCAAACGGTTCTTAAACACTGACAGGCTTGGGGTGCCAGCTACCTCTCTAGGAAGACCATTCCAGTTTGACCACACTCTCAGTAAAGAAATGCTTCCTAACCTCCAGTTGGAACCTCTCCTGGTTCGACTTTCAACCATTTCTACACCCTCTGTTACTGGATCTCAGGGACAAGAGATCAGCATATCCCTCTCTCATCCATCTTACTTTTATTCTTCCTGCTAATTCATATTTAAACAAAATTCATTTCCACGAACTGTGCATACATTAGGATTATATATATATCTAAAATCTCTCTATAGGAAAAGGACTGGTTCTGGAATCACTTCCTATGACTATATGAATCCTGTGCATGGTCCACCCACCTTCCTGACTAAGTGGTCCTCTCTCTGTGTATGTTTTCTAAATAGTTTTCTGCTTCCTGTTTCTTTCTTTCTGCTGTATCTGCCCTTCACAGTGAGATGTTGTATAAAGAACATTAAAGGTAAGACACTTTATAAGCCACAGGAAAGGTGCCCCACAGCAACCTCAGGATGTGCACTTACATATTTTCCCTATGAAAAGTAAAGGATAGGCAGAAAGAAAGCTTTAAAGCTGGGATATGCTTCAAAACTATGTTAGGAAGTAGCAGACAGGTATGTGTTGCACAAACTGATGCAACTTGTCTTGCAAATATGTATTTTCTTACTGTTCTTCCTTTTATTTTGTTTCAATATTCTTCTCTCTCTAGAGATGTAAAAATTTCTGTATAGTTTCCTGCCTCCTCTTTTCTTTCTGCTTGTCTTGCACAGCTGTACAATGAGATGCTGTACAAAGAACATTACCCAACATCCAAGACATGATCTTTATAAACACAGGGAAAGGGGATGGGAAGCCACCAGCCTTGGTGATACTCACTCTCAATAAGGACTTCTGATGAAGAATTCTGTCACCTTCTTTCTCTGAAAATTGTTTCCCAAATTCATATTCCTTTGTCTTTGCTTCCACAGCTTTAAACCTTATCAGAATTGCCTCTCCCCCTGTCAAGAACATGAAGGTATCTAAATGTCTAAATGCTGACATACAGTTTTCCCAAAAACAGAAGAGATTGCTCTGACCTGCTTCACAGACACACATAGAAACAGAGTACATATATTTCAACAGTTATATCAGCATGATAGACTTTTCTTGATGTTTAGTATATATTCCTCTACATCACCTCCTTCTTATCAAAATACAGCATACTTATTTTTATCCTTCCATCAGACCACTACTAGACATCTTCTAGAAGCAGAACAGTAAACATGAAATCCCATTTATATTCAAAATAAGCTCTTGTGTTTTAGATTTATAAGCATTAATATTAGCTTTTTGTTATTACAGCCCCAAGAAATATCAGTCTCATTATAATCAGCAATGAACACACACAGAAGAAAATATGTATTGAATAGAAGATCAAATGCCCCCTAAAAAAAGAGGATTTATAGTTAAAGAAGGAAAAATTTGACCTCTACTCATCATAGTCATAGGATAAAATCTGGTCTTGAAAATCCAAACATGGTAAGGATTGTAATTAAGTAACTCATATGTTAGTTTGAAAGCACAGATTTCAGTGTTATGCTACAGTGTGTTAAATTTTTCTGTACTCAGTCATAGTAAGAGCAAAACTAGAGCAACATGCCCAGTTTTTGATCCTGTATTCCAGGAAATTTGATAATGACCAATTTGATAATGGAGTGATGAATGAAAACATCATCCAGATTGAGAATCAAAGACAAGCCAGCTCAAAACCCTTCAGCCTTTAAGAAAGGAACTTAAACAACTTAACAAAAAGAGTCTGTGGGAAAACATGGTAGCAGCCTTCAAATAGATGGAAGTCTGGTGCATGTGGTTCTCACATCTGCTAGGAATAGGACACAACACAAGAAAAAAAGATGCATTAGAGCAACAGAGACTTTGCTATGAAATGAAGGGAGGGAGAAAACTCTGTGTTCTGCATGTAAGGACTAGTAAACACTGGAAGAAATTGCCTCAGTGGCTCTTTCAAAGGGGCACTTTTAAAGAAGTAGACAGTTGACTTCTAAGGGTGTCTGTAGTTGGATTGATCCTGTCCCAGGGCAGAACATGGCTCTTGTTAGGCCATTCCTAGTTCTGTTATCTGCCAGTCTGCAGTGTTATAGCTGTGGCATTTCCCACTGGCTGTTCAATAGCTCTGTTCTTTTGTGCAAACTGCGTAATGGAATACATTAGATTTTTTTATGCAATAACCAGCAAATGTCAGGCTTGAAATGCAAGCCTGTAACCTACTTGGACAATTCAGAAATCTTCAGAATGTCTGAATTAGACATATTCCTGTTTTACTTATGAAGAAATTGAAGCCATAAGCAATTTATATTATCTGTCCATGAATACACCACGAATTAATGGAAAATGAGAACTGAAAATGAGTAATCTTCTGGATTTTACACTTCACATTGTAAATATACAAGTAGGCCCAAAGGAAGAAGAAAAAATCCCAAACATAGGAAAAATAAGACAGTGTCCCATAGATCATAGAAACTGCACTGTTCTCTCCCCATTAAATACAAAAGGGTGTGTTTTGGAAGCATATCTTCCCCAAAAGTCCATATTTCTAGTGCAATTTCTTTTGAATAAATGTAACATTCATCCAGATAAAAAAGAAAAATCTTTCAAAGTACCTTTAAACAACTATGCAGAGTTTTAAAATATATCCTCACTAAGGGTCCAGCAATCAGCCTTGGTTATTAATCATTCTGACAAAAAAATTGATTTTCATTTCCTTCTTTCATGTTGTGTGGGAACAGCCTGAGGTAGATTACAAGATCTGAGAGAGATGATAAGGACAGTAAGAAGGCTTTTGAGAGACTCTGAGCACCTAGTGGATTACTGTCTGTTTAACCTTTTGATGAGGTACTGGGTTTAGTTTTGGGAATCTTGTCTGTTTAGCATCCTGATTTTCATTTCTATGCTGGTCAGATAAAATGTAGGGAATATAGTACTGAGGTGCCAGATGTAATCAGATGTCCTAATCTCAGCAGAACACTATAAATTGTTTGTGTGTAATTCCACTAGAAAATTGATATGTCCATATTTTGTACCATATAAAAAGGCTGCTAAACATCCCAATAAACAGAAAAACTTGTGAAGTCATTGGAATTTAATTGAACATTAAATCCTGATCAATACTTAAGTAAATTCGCCAAGCTTCTCTACCTAGTAACAAGGCATCCTGTGTGCCACAGAGGGATGCCTTGAAAATTATTTAGTATTTCGTTCAACTTTTTAAAGTCTGCTAAGGAAATAGTAAGTGCTAGAGACTGTTTTTCCAAGAAAATATATTCTTGACAGATTTCACTGTCTTGCAGAGACAAAGGTTATCCCTAAAATAAATTAGTGTTAATAGACCTATGTCTCCCAAAGTATCACTCTGTCATACCCTACTTCTTATGTGCTGAGTTTATTCCTGTGATGATTCCTAAACAAATGTTTCCTTCTTAGTGTCCTTAACTTAAAATCATGGAACCAAATCCAACAATCCTGTTTAAATGCATGAAGAATCCCATTGAAGCATTATAGGATGTTTCAGGGTGGGGATGCTGGGCTGTGAGGCATTCTTATACCTGTGCACTGAACAACTGCATGGGTTAAAAGCTAAATCAAGTACAAACCTGAGTACATATCTTACCAGGGTGCTAAAATAGAATATATTTTTAAAAACCCCCAAACCCAACACTTTTTGGTTTGACTAATGTTACTCCAAAAGTATTTGCATACGTTTTTTAAAAATCAACAGGCAAAAATCTAGAATGTTCTGACCTTACTTCTGCATGAGAAGGTGTTCCTTTTCTAAAGTGAAAACGATCTGTATTTGTTCAAATTCTTATTTTCACATATCACTATTACATACTCTTCGGTAACAATATGAGAGCCCCTCCCTTTTTTTTTTAAACAGAAAAACCCCTTATAACCCTTGCCAAAATAGACAAACGGCTGCAACTGCATAGCTGGGACAAAGTCAACTTACAGAGTCCTAGGACAATGCACACGAAGTTTAAGGGAAGTGAAATAGACCAAGGGCAGACGATTCCCAGCTAACTCCAAGGGATGCTCCAATGCATTGTACTGCTGCCCCCTTAAGGACAAAGAACGCGAGGAGTTGAGCTGCTTGTCCTGCTCAAAGGCCTGCAACTTCTGTGCGACAGCTAGGATTTGGACACAGTTCTCATGCCTCCATGTACGTTACCACACTCAGTTGTGTCCCCTTTGCTCTCCAGGCTACATTAGTAAGCTCTTGTGTTTTAAAGCTTCATGGTGTTAGGAGCCTGTTCTGCATGGAAAGCAGGCATGATGCAGCAGATGGAAACCAAAATGCTCCTTTTTTGTATTTCTAAAAGGCTTTGACACACTGAATCACTCACTTCACATGTGTCCTGCAGGTTGCCAAACATTAGGGTGCTGAGGGTGTGCAGAAGCCACTGCCCTCTCCTGCAGGCTCCGTGGGGATCTGTGCATCAGGGGTTGAGGGCTGGAGAGGGAATGTCCCTCCAGGCAGCCTTGCAGCCCCAGCCTGAGGGATGCTGGTCTTCAGGTGTGCCACACCACAAGCAATTCTACCTCTGTACAGAGTAACCAGTTAGTCATTTCGCCTACTAGGACAGGACTTGTGATTTTTCCCAATTTGCCAATTGCCACATATTTACAACATAAAAGAAATTATTGTGATGCATAAATTAAGCATGGGGCACCCTAAAAGAAATTTGGTTAGGACCTGATAGCCCAACAGTACAACTTCAGTTATGTGGACATCTCTGAGTGTCTTATGGTGCTATCAAACCTGAAGGACAGTGCTGAAAAAGTGCTGTAAACACATTAAGGGACTTCAGTTTTTGCAGAGGATTTTCAAAGGCAGCTCCTCTCTGAGAAAGGCCCTAGAATGGGATATCAGAATTCATTTGAAAGGAAGAAACTGAGAGACAAAACACTTTTAAGACAAAAGAAATACTGAAGATAAATGAGAGAATATGGTTCTATCTTCTCTTTCCCCAGAACTGAAGACCAATTCTCTTCATCAATATTTTCTCTATTTCTTGTTGTCAAATTTTCTGATCTTATCTTCAGCTTCATGTATCTGAAATTTAACTTGCTGAATCCCTCCATGGGTGAATATTGTTCCCTACACAAAGTGGTTTAAGATAAGTATGATTAGTACTATTGTGTCGTAAATTCTATGATAGCTTATCATTGCTATCAATATAATTGTCCAGCATTCACGAAATCTGGATGTTCAAGATTACATTCAGTTGACAGTGAATACAGTCACCAGAGGGTTGGACTAGGTGATCTTTTAACCCAGAAGATTCTATGATTCTATCAATGAATACATAATTTTCTGTATCTATTCAGATGTTTCAATACCTCAGTGTGTTAAGTTGCTTTTTTTTGATGAGTTTTTTGTATAAAATGCTTTACTGGCATAGCAAGAAAATGGCATAACCTAAACACTATTTGGAAGCTACCTGAATCCTTTTCAGGAAAAAAAAAGTAACTGAAATAAGATAGCTGTACTGATAAAATCTGCAAGGCAGACAAACTTTATATGAGAATAGTGTGAAACACTAACTGTGGGTGACCTTTTGGACCCTCTGAAGTCAATCAAAACTATGGCCATCAACTTCAGTGGAACAGACAGGAATTTGCTGTGTTTTCTGAAGTGAGCAGCTTTAGGAAGATAAATTGTCTTTTGCTCTCTTTTCAGCTGCTGCATCATCTGGGTAGTTATTGTCCCTGTTGTGTGTGAGGTCCTGGATGTGCCTTTTTTGTATGCTTGGGTTTCACACATGTTAAATTTTTTTTAATGTATTTAGGCATATAGGTATTTCTTTAACATATGTCCAAAGCACATATATGTATCAATATTTATACATCATTTATGGTGTGTATACATATATAATGTAAGGTGTGGGTATATGTTATATGGTATGCATATATATACATATACAGCAGCATTAGGAAGCATATTAATGTCTGTGGGAGATTCTGAGAACCCTTGAGAGAAGCTGCTGCCGTACAATGGGCTTTGGTAAAATTACATGTAATCCATTTCTATCTTGCTCTGACACCTTAAATGCTCATCCTGCCCTACTGCTAGCATTTCTGAACTTTATTCCTAGTTTCTATATATGTTCCTGTCTAGTTCATTTCCTAATCTGATACTGAACTTCTCAGTGGAATTTTTAAATGCATGTGAGAGGTGATGCTATTAAATTTCTCTCATCTGTGTCTACCTGAACAAAGCAAACTGAATCATAATATATAAGTACATTGTAGCTCTTAATATATAAGAAAATTGTATCTATTTACTACTTGAATGTATTTTCAAAAGTGTTTTTCTCTGTAATACCAAAGTATCATTGAGTGATCCTGCAAAAATCAAATCATGATTTGATATAATCAAAGTTTCTGCTACAATCTACTATGATTATGAGCTCCAACTTAAACATCTACAAAGCACAGCCCTTACAACTGTGCAAAGGTAGGCAACACTGGAAAAGATGACTTGTATTAAATGTTTTTTAACAATTTCTCTCAATTCAATGATCCTTTATACTATTCTATTTATAGCCACGCAAGAATTTTAAAAGAAAATATATATGTATTTATAATCAATAAGAATTTTTTATGTTTTGTGAATCAAAACAAAGTTTTGATGGTGTCATTGACCTACTGAGAGGAAAGAATTGAAGAATAAGGAGGTTCTTCAAACAAGGCTGTCAAGCCCAGTTGTTTTAGTATCTTGAGTCCAGCCTTTGCTATATTCAAGTTCAACCACTGAGAATAAGACTACCTCAATGCAATTCTCATCTGTTTGTTGTTTGCCTTTCTCCAAATGTAGTACTTTCTTTCAGACAGCACTTTCTTTCTAATTGCACTACAGCAATTATTTATTCAGCAACTACTTATCAAAATCTCATTTATGTATTCTGGACACAGACTGTACTGTTCTTAATTTTTTTTGTTTGACTACCAAAACTTCCAATAAATTAAAAGGTATCTATAGAATTACCTATGAAATTTTGGGTTTACCACAGCCAAATGCACAGCATAAGTGGTTCACTGTATACAGTTTACCCTGCAGGGACTTTGATACATAGAATCAGAAAACAGCTTGCCCTGGAAGCGACCTTTAAGATCATCTGGTTCCAACCCTCCTGCCATGAACCTTCCACTGGATCAGGCTGCCTGGGGCCCCATCCAACCTAACCTTCAACTATTCATGGGATGGGGCATCCACAACTTCTTTGGGCAACGTGTTCCAGTCCCCCACCACCCTTATAGGAAAAAATTTCTTCCCTATGTCTAACCCAAACTTACCCTCAGTTTAAAGCCCTTGTCCTATCATAAATGCCTTTGTAGAAAATCCCTCTCCAGCTTTCATGTAAGTTCCTTTAGGTGCTGGAAGGCTGCTGTAAGGTCTTGCTGAAGCCTTCTCTTCTCCAGGCTGAACAACCCCAGCTCTCTCAGCCTGTCTTTGTTAGAGAGGTGCTCTGGTTATTTCATTATCTTCATGACTCTCCTCAGGACTTGCTCCAGCAGGTGCACATCTTTCTTATGCTGGAGGCCTCAGAGCTGGATGTAACAGGAGAGGAGTAGATGGGCAGAATCCCCTCCCTCCCCCTACTCTCCACATCTCTTTTGATGGACACAGTTGGCTTTCTGGGCTGGAAGTGCACATTACCAGGTCATGTTGAGCAGCTTCTCCAATATCCCCCAAGTCCTTCTACTCAAGGCTGCTCTCTGTCCATTCACTGCCTGGCCTGCACTTGTGCTTGGGATCGTCCTGACCCAGGTGCAGGACCGTGCACTTGGTTCAGTTTCACGAGGTCCCACCTCTCAAGCCTGTCACGGTCCCGCTGGATGACATCCCTTCACTCTAGCGAGTCGGCTGCACCACACAGCTTAGTGTCATCACAAACGTGCTGAGGGTTCATAACGAAGTATTAAGTAGAGTTTTTCTACTTTTATATATGCTAATCGTCCCCGGTTGCGTAACCGTTGCGGTGTGGCACCGGCTGTCCTGCCACTAACCAAGGCTGTCTCCTGTTCCCCGCTGCTCCCTGCTCACCATGTCCACCAGCGCACACACCCCCCGAGGACTCGCGGTCTGCCAGGCGAGCGGGGCTCTCCGTTCCCACGCCGGCTCCCGAGCGCACAACGCCGCGGCGGGAAGCGTGTTTTTCGAATCCGAGCGCTTGGCCACGCCTCCGGCCATCCCCCGTGCGCCCGCCCCTCCATCCCCGGGCTCGCCGAGGGGCTGTGGCGCAGGTGAGAGCGGCCCCGCCGGGGCGGAGCACAGCGGGCCGAGGGTGTACCGCGGGCCCCGCTCCGCTCTGCCCGGCTCGGCTCCGCAGGAAGCGCCGCCCGCGCTTCTTCCTCCTCCCGCCTCTTTCTCCTCCTCCTCCTCCGCCCGCCCGCGGCGGTGGCGGCGGCTCGGCGATGCAGCAGCACTTTTCCCTGGCTGAGTGCGACGTGGTGGGCTTCGACCTGGACCACACGCTCTGCCGGTACCACCTCCCGCAGAGCGCACGGGTGAGTGCGGGCGGCGCGGCGCGGCCGGGGAGCCGCGGGAGGGGCCCCGCTCCGCCCGCTGCCGCCGCATGCCCCGCCGAAGGCAAGCGGGGCCGGCAGCCCTGCGGCGGGGGCAGCGAGCCCGGGGCCGGCCCGGAACCTCAGACATCCACGGAGGATAAGAGAATCGCAAGTGCATCTCTCGCCGGGCGCTTCCTCAGCAGGCCTCTCTGCCCGAGCGGAGGGGACAGCCATGTCTCGTTCCTTGAAAATGGTTGTGCTTTCCTGGCCGTAGCGGCGCTGAGGAAAAGGTAGAGCCCGGCCGCTAAATCCAGAGATGCTGCAGAGTGAGGAGCCCGCAGCGCTTTGGACCTTTGCGAACTTTCTGGTGCTTGTAATAAAACGCCGAGTTTAGAGGCACCTCTGACTTAGCCCTGTGGTCTCTTTCGAAGAGAAATTGCTGCCTGTGCTGTGCGTTCCCGCCCTTGTCACTTTCGTTTTTCAACTCCCTGGTAATCTTGCACTGACTCGTCCTTCTCTGTTGATGTCAGGACTGTTCTGGAGGTATCTTGTGTCGTGGATGCTCATGGTGTCTCACTCTCCCCCTTTCTTTGTCTCCATTCACTTACAGTACATTTTGCACTGCACAGGACTCCCACGCTAATTGCAAGATAATTTCAGAATTTGGTATAGAAACAAATGTTTATGAGCTGTCCCATTTATTAATAGGCATCCTGTGGTGAAAAAGTGCATTGCTTCCCTTAGCTATGTGTGAACTTTAGTGGAGAGGTGTCTTGCTTACAAAGGAAGATTCAACAGTAACAATAAAGTGTAAGAGCTCTTAAATTTCTAGGTGGAAACTGTGTAACACTGGGCTTACTTTCCATATTCTTGCCATACACAAGCACGTTCCTTCTGATACAAATTCTGTATGATGAAGGCAAACATTAGACAATCGATTAAAAGAGTTTTTTAAAAATGCTAATGAACCAATGAGCAAAGTGGAGAAAAAATCCCAAAACTTTTACTAAACTTAGTACACTCTTTATCTTCTCACAGGAGACAGAGGCAGACTGACACATGCCCATTGTATGCCTCCTTATCTTTTGGAAATAAGAAATGCTTTAAAAGGCTCATAGGCCCAGCTGAAGATGTAGTTAGTTCTTACTATTCCAGCGTTGTCTTCCATAATATGTCTTTTCTCAGATGTTATTCATACTAAATCTAAGAGAATCTGTTGTAATTAAAGAAAAAAGGCCAGGGAACAGCTTTAATGAAAAAACCACAAGAAAAAGAGAGCAATTACTATTTTTGGACGCGGCAGCATCTCCATAGAGCTTCCTGTAAAACTTTACCCGCACAGTACATTAATAAATTGCTGAGTGTCGTGCTAGGCCATTTGAACTTAGAAATAATAACTGTTTATTCAGTACTTGCCTATTTTCTTCAAAATTAATTCCTTCAAATAGATTTAAAATACCCCTAAGGATAAATGTTTACTGGTTTGGAAGCTGCTTGTTGAATGTCAGTAACCACAACATTTTAAATTGAAAAAAAAAATAAAGCAAAAAGGATGATTGGGGAGGGGGAAATAGTGAGTAGCCTTTAAGTACTTACCATCTTGGTTTCCCAACAGTCTTGAAGCACAGGGGGGCAGTAAAGTAGAATGTTGTAATCTGGGTCGTGGTGAACACATTGCACCAGAACTCTTGTATGTGTTCCAGTCATGACTAAATAACCTCAGGCACAATTTCCCATTGGAGGCAGTGGGACAGCGCCCCTAGCTCCATAGTTTGATTTCACTTAGGAAGCATTAACACTTGCATCTTGCCGCTCTCCAAGGAAGCAGTGGCTTTGATCTCACTTCACTGATATAATAAATGCAATGTTTTTTTTTTTTTCATTTGTAGCTAATATATGATAGTTTTGCCCAGTATCTGGTAACAGAGAAGGGATATGATGAAGATTTGCTGACTCTAGCTCCAGACAGCTTAGATTTCTGGTGAGTACATTGAAAATAATGTCGTTCCTTTACGCTGTAACTTTTTTACAAAGCTCAGAGAACAGCTTTATTTATTAGGCAGTTAATGTTATGATTGTCAAGTGCAATGGATAAATCCAAAATTACAGTTTCAAATACTTGTTCTAAGTATTTGTCATGAGATACTTCTAACAGGGTATTTTGGAGAGGGAACTGAGCGTCTAAGCTTGCTTTGTCTGTGCTTCCAGCTGTATGGACACAAGCATTTTAGTCTCACTCTCTTTTATTATGTATCATCTTTGTCTTCTACATTCTATTCAACAGTAACCATCAGATTTTAGTCATTTTTACCCCAACAGATGCTGTTTTGTTTGTGTAAATTAGATTAATCCCAACAGGCACGGAAAGGTGACCTGCCAGGAGGTAGCCCTTGGGTGGCACATCAGGCACAAAGCCATGATGAAAAAGACTGAAACCCAAGTTCCTGCTCTGAATTCAGTGGTCTCTGAGCAGGAACTTAACTTGAATCTTGATATTTTTACTTGATAAGGTTATTATCTAGGCCGTGGGGTGGAGACTTGAAGGCCAAATAACTGTTAGATACACATACATTTTTTTTTCAAATAATGTGCATATTCTTGTGTAATGGTTCTTTACCATTCAATATTTCACTGGACAATTTCCAATGAGATTAATTTCAACTTCCATGAGACAAGCAATGTATCTATATCATATTTTGAGGCCTATGATGCAAGAAATCCTTTTTTCAGCTCTAGATGTCTTGGGTTTGGTCTCTTATTGAAGTAGGAGGTTCATTAACATGGACCTGCAAGTCCACAGTGCTGGTAGCAAGTGTGTCATTGCTTCTTGCCCAGAAGTCATTCCTGAAAGGTTGGCATCTGCTTGCTGCCTTCATGGAATATGTTTTTTCTTTTGGGGGCCTCATAGAGGATGAAGGTGCCATTGCTTCCTCAGTCTCATCTATTCATTTCTATTCTAACCACTGAACTCTGAATTAATTTTTCAAAGAACCTAAGCAAATTTGGATCATAAGATTTATTAGGGAGAATTAGAAACTCTTGCCAAGTGTCTCCAATGATGTCAACTCTTCTCCCTGTTTGTGATGGCTAACATGGCAATGCTTCTGCTTCATATGTTCTTAGCTTACTGAGTTGCCTCATTTAGATTCATGTTCTACCCCTTTTTTCTGTAATAACTGGTGTAATCAGTCAGGTAACAACTAGAGGAGTTGCTGTCAAAAAAAAATTCTTTAATGGAAGTGATTTAAATATCACATTTCTTAGTTTGCTATGTTTAGACCTGAAACCTCCAGCCAATCTATATAACAGTCCCTAAATTTACTGGACATGAAACTGGGTTTATTTAGTAGGATTTTGCCATGTAAGGAAAATCCAGTTCTCATTGTAATAATATGCACTTTTGTGTAGAGAGGATTGTTCAAGCATGGAAATATTGGAAGAGTTGTGACTTGTTTGGTGTTCTGTAGCATCATAGCTACAGAAGCACCATAACTTCTGTAACTGCATATCACTATTAGATAAGAAGACAGTCCTCTGAAAGCATAATTTTTTTTGTTTCTTCCTTAAAATTAATTTATTCTTAGTTGCAAAGGCTTGGTGTTGGACATTGAAGAAGGAAACTTCCTGAAACTTGCAGAAGATGGAACAGTTTTAAGGTAATATTGACAATAAATCTATATAGTTAAATATAAGTTGTATTGTTAAATACATTAACATTTTATCTCCCTCTTAAATGCTATCTCTCAATTTTATAAATATTTAAAATACTTATTTCGGCATGCATTCATTTATTAGATGTAAAAGTTTAAATACTGTTTGATATTGTGGTACTTAGTTTCTTTTAATGTTACATATGGAGTCTTTTGGTAATGTT